CGGGAGATGCTCATTCATCAGTCTGAAAAAGCATAATCATAATGAGAACAACTTAGAGGAAAATACCACCAAAGAAAAAAGACAGAATCACGCCCTAGAGACAGCATTCAGAGAACTCATAATTCTGCTTATCCATTGTTTACTGTTTAGTTTGCATTTCCATCAGTTCCTTGTATCTTTTTTTGGTTAATAAGGCATGTGAACTTTCAATATAAAAATTAAAAAAAAAAACATTTCTCTTAGACCATATACGGAACATATGAACAATTTTTATGGAATTTGTTTGAAAATCTACGTTTACTTCAATAGAAAATTATGAAAATTCTATTACGATATTATAAAATTTACTTAAATAATTTCAGGTAGAATTGATCAAAATAAATGAATTTAAAATTTTATTCTTCTAACTCCACTTGATATTTTCTAGGACGTCGATTTTCACCATCTCCTAATTAAACTATGTGTGGATTTCCAAATGAATTCTACAAGTAATTTCTATCTGTTCCAAACACAGCCGTAACTATTTGATCACTGGCATTTCAGTCTCAACCCCCAAAATATTGATTTAAATACTAAAAATCGAGAATCTCTATTTTTGCATTCTGAAACTTTCCACCATAAAATTCTGCAGGATAAAAGAGAAAAAGTCTAACAACTTCGTTCTTAAAGCAACAAGAAACCCTCAGGAGTTCATAAATAAATTAATTAAATTTCGGGAGGCTTCGTGAAGTGCTTCTTTAGGAGTTAAACTTCGTAAAGTGCTTTGGTTGTTTGGTGAGTAGCTAACGCTAAGAGAGAAAACCAGAGCAGAGGGAGAGTAGCAGGCTTGAAGTGAGATTATACAAAATTAACATGTTGCATATCTGAATTTTCTGGTAAGTTTTATTAAAAAATTGGTGACTAGGTTTAATTTGATGCAGGTAAAAAGTTCAGGTTTTAGAAAGATACACTTTAATGTAAGGTCCTCCTTTGTGGCAATAGCTAAAGCAAAGGATATTTTTGAACAACTAGCCCCAATCAAAGCATGGGTTAAATACCTGATGGAATGCACCTCTGACTACAGCATAAATAAAAAGCGAGAAGAAAAGATTAAATCTGAATTGACCAAGCAGAGTGAAGTACGAGCTAAAAATCAATACCCAGGAGAGAAGGCAACACAAACCAATGTCGGAGATCATAGCTAATATCACAAATTGGGCAGGAGAAGAGAACAACAAATTATCCAATTACTTAACTAAAGAAATTTTAAAAGTTTAAAATTTGAAGTTAGTTATAAGAGAAAATGATTTTTCCAAATTCACTACAAAACCAAATCAATTAACAGAAAGGAACAACATACATGGACCTTAGAAACATATCTCGAGCAACAATTCTTTTTTAAGCATCATAAATCAAATGACAACTTAATCATCTATCACCGAAGTTCAAAAGTAATACTTGAAAACACCATGACTCACCTTTGTTAGCCTGTGGAAAATAACGAGCCCACTGAGGTAAATCTCCACTATAACTTACTATTGGGCAGTAACCTTCTGCCTCCCTGTTATATGTACAGCCTGATAACTGTGTTGTATTGCAATGATATGCTCCCTTCCAAAGATTGCATGGAGAAGTAAGAAACTCAGTTCCCTGGTTGCGTCCCCAGTCAAGACGGTCTGCCATGCTATAATTAGCCTGATACCATCCACTATCCTCCAATAGTGCCAGAGTCATTTTTGAAACTACTGATCTGGTATCTACTGACCCTGTCATAATCTCATTCATCAGAAGCCTCTTTTCCCAGTGAGACCCTGCAGACAAGTCAAAAAGCTAAATCAGTTAAGTGCATTAGATGAAGAAAAAAAGGGAAAAAACTAACAGACAAGGAAACCTGAAGTTCCACGCCCTCCCCCATCTTCTAACTCTAATCCAGTGAAATTTTCAGAAAAGGCCTGTCATTGAAATAATTGTCAGCCATTTTCTGTTTCCATTTTCAGGACCTAGAAATCAAACACTATAGGATGTAGACAAGGCATGACCTAGAAACCACAACTATAAGTAAGAAAAAGGAAAAGGGAGACGAATTAGATTCTTCATATAATTCGGAATTAACATTACCCCATAATGGTGTCGTGAGTGCATAACAACACGTGGAAGCACTACACGTGTCACCATGCGCCCAAGTCTTTCATCCATTTCTTGTTCAGTAACCTACAAAGCAAGCTGACAAGTTGTAACAAGCTAACAAATGGTTGTCATCGTAAGATAAAATCCCAAGAACAGATAAACTATGCAAGATCCATTTCTAACATATTAAATAAATTTAAAACAAGTGGTAAAATTCAAGAGATTCCTCTTAGGTAAGAATTTTAGCGCCCATAGAGCTTTCGCACTTAAGAACTTTTAACACTATTATTCTCACGACTATTTAAACAGCAGCTACAATTAATAGCACCATCCATAATTTTTCTACAGTTTGGCCAAAACATATTTCAGGAATATTCAGAACGCAGCATAAATTGCAGTTTGAAGTCATAGATGAACATTATTTTCAACTATTAACAACATGAAAATCCATACTGAACATTCATTCTAAACAATTAGATGCCGTATTGTGCTTAGCCAGACATTGTGGTGTAGGTATCTCCCCTGGTACATTTTTTTCACAATTGCTTGTCTTTACTTTTTTCATAAATTGAACTGGGTGCCATTATCTTGAGCAAGGACATTACAGTGAGTATCGCATTGTTTACCTGAGCACGTCTTCTTTTTCTCTCATCTCGAAAATGTGCAAAGGCATGGGGATCAAAACCAAGAACATGCATAACCTGGAAAAGAAGAAATAAAATGGTAAATGGAACAACAAGTCTTCCATACTTTGAAAAATTACTAACTTAACACTGTCAACCAACCTCATGAATTAGTGTAGCCGACAGTAATGTCTCTGCTTCAGCCGTTAAATGCCGAGGAGCAACATTCACATGCCCTACCAAGAAAGAGAAGTTAGGGAACATAAGGTTCTTTTCGTAGACCATGCTAGAGTTAGAGTTAATGGGAGTAAAGATCAACCACTTTGGATGGAGGCTCAATGTTAGTGGGATTTTTTGGTCAAATTTTTCTACAGTCATTCAACTAAAAGAGAATTCATAAGCACCAACTTTCTCTTTCCGCAAATCTGGAAGGTAAATGCTCCACCTAAAGTTGTTTTTTTCTTTAGGAGGCTGGTAGAGGTTATATTCTAACTCTTGACAAGTTAATCAGGAGGGGAAGGGTTTTGGTGAGCGTGTGTTTCTTATGCAAAAGGGAGGCGCATAATCATATCCTTCTGTAGTGTCCTTCCGTGCATAAATTGTAGACCTTTACTTATGGACTCTTGAGTACCAATTGGATGATGGTTGGTTCAGTGAGGGAAGAAATTTGAGTGTGGAAAGGCAATAGTAGAATGAAGAAATATGTTAATCTCAATCCTCTTACTACCTTTTGGGTGATGTAGACAGAAGAAAACAATAGAGCTTTTGAAGGCGTGGAAGATGATTTTGATGGGGGTAAAAGATAGATGGTTTTAGACCCTAGGTTCTTTTATTATGGGTCATTCTCTTTATTCACTCGAGAACTTTGGTAACCGAATAAATATTTTGACTGATAAATAAATATCTTCGTACATGAGTTTGAACCCCCCTTGGTGCATGTGAATGAATCATACCATACTAATTTTATTTCAAACAAAAAAAAGAAACCAGGTAAGATAATATTTACCAGCAATTGCACGGCCCCATTGATCACGTTCACAGGCCACAGCCCATGCAAGCGTATTGCCGGTGGTAGGTCTTGTAGTCACCAGGAGTACCAAGTCTGCATCTGCGACACCCTCTGGAGATTTTTGGATTGTAAATAAACTAGTTGGTTCAATATGCACATAAAAAGAAGTACCACGAGATACTAAAAGAGCAAGAACAACAATTTTCTCATCAAACAATAAACAGCAATGAGAGACCTTCAACATATTCGTGAGGAAGTTGCACACCGCCATCTTGTCCACATGCAGAATATCCACTTAAGCGCAAGTTTCCCTTCACAGGCTCAACAGCTAAAGCTCTCTTGAACCAATCTGCTGTCTGCCCCAAAGCCTTCATGAATTAATTCTGAAAATTAGTTCATCTGTCTGACCAAAAGCTCTATCTAAGAAAAGGATAACCAAAGTTGAAGGCAAATAACGAATGGTAACCTTGCGAAGGCGGTGCTTTTTGTCTTCCCCAGATATATCATCTAAAGTACAGTTATACCAGCAATCACCATAAACAGGAGGATCAGCATGAGGATTGCAGGAATGAGTTCCAGGCAGAGTACTCAAAGCAGGCTCCCCGAGCTGGTAAATTTTTCGACCAAGAGAACAACGCAAAACAAAAGAAAGCATTCAGGCTTTAGTCATGCAGAAGCCCATATACAGTCCATCAATAGAGTGCCAAGCAACAAAAGACACTGACCTTCACAATGTCACCAATTCTTCGGCAATCTCTATCAGGTGAGTGACCAACAGCATCATAATTTAAATATATTCTAATAGGCTGCTTTGCATCCCTTTGCTGCCCTAAGGCTTCAGAAATTCCAAGCAATGCCCTTCCTTTGCGGTGAAGGCGTTTTGAGGTAGCAGGCTCATCATAAACCTGCGGAGTAACTGAGTATACCTTGCGACCTGGTTTCCTCCTTTCTTCAATTATACGGTCATGAATGCACGAATGTGAGGCAATGCTTTTGCTAACACTTTCCATGCCTTGCCATTGCAATTGGGCCTCTTTGGACTTTCCATTTGCAGTTTTCAACCATAATAATATCAATACAATCTGAAACAAAATAAAAAATATAAAACATACAAAAAAATTGCAGCAAAGCATTCAGATTTTTCCAGTAACCAGACAGAAATTCCGGTTAGTGTAAACAAGAAAGACCTTAACACAACATACAGAAAGGCGGTAGATATTTCGCCACATATTTTCTATGCGGCAGATCTAATAAAACCAAAATAAATCAAGCTAATTGCACAAAAACGTGATATTCCAACTCGCAGAAGCTCAATTGAGCACAACAACGAGTATAAAATATGACCATAAGTTGTAAGCTTTCACCCTAAACTCCTCCAACCACAAAGACTAACATACTGCAATAAGCTGCACAGCTTGGATCATATAACAGGGAGGAAAAAAGCAAGATTTTTATTTATACTAACGAGCTAAACAGGAAAAGAAAAGAAAAAAAATCGACCCAGCTAATTTCTTAAAACCAAGAAAACGAGGGTTCTCTCACAAATAAATCGTCCTACGTTTTTCCTAAAGGAGAAACCTCCAAACAAAAACAAAAAATCAAAATAGGAAAAAATAAAGAAAAGAAGAAGAACAGAGACATGAGATCTTGATCTCCATCACATGCAAGTAAAAATGAGAGCTTTTTAGTTCCAAAATTAGACATAAAATCCCGAACCCCTTTGATTCCATGACAAAAACATAGAACAAGAAAATGAAACTCAGATTTCCCACCATGACTGCAGTGTCAGAAGCAAAAGATAAACTTGAGCTCTTTTTTCACAATTTCTGACCGAACAAACAAAAGTTAATATTTACACATTCTGACTCTAAGCTTACTACTAGTACATAATCAAAATCAAACAGCAAATCCCAAATCTCTCTCTCACAAAAAAAAAAAAGGTTAAAAAAAGAACCCAGAAATAAATAAATAGAGTGAACTAGCTAAGAGAGCACACCTCTAAAAAAATGAGCGCAAGTCGTTGCTGATTACGAAATCCGCGGCCGGTAAATGAACCATACCGGAAAATTAACTCCATGAAACGCCCAAAAAAGCTAGCATAGCTTCAATTTAACACGATATCTGGCGATTTCCCATCGGATTCTGGACTCAGAAATATCAGCAGGTCTGCTGCATTCCCGTACTCACGCCCAACCAAATAAAAGAAGAACGCATAGAAAAGGATGTTTCCGTTTGTGATTCAGAAACACGAGAATAAGAAAATGTATAAAATAAACGAAAGGTAGTGTAGATATCGAAAGACGGGCAGGAAATTAGCTGATCTTCTTGTATAATTAGCGAGTTACTTTAAAACAAAGTTAATTGATTTCTCAGTGAGTTATTTTGTTCTTCGCAGAGATGGGAGGCAGTGACAGTGAAGAGAGAGAAAGAGAGAGAGAGACGAGCAGGAGAGGAAATAATGCAAGAGATTAAACCGATTGGGTGGGGGTGGGTACAGGTTTAGAGATGACAATTTCCTTTTAATATTTTAAAAATAAATATTATATTTTTTAAATAATTAAAAAAAAAAACAAAAAAAGTTATGGAAGAAAAAAAAAATATCAACAAATTTGCCAAAATAACCTCCATTTTCTTCAAAATTACAAAAACAACCCCCCTCTAATAAGTACTCGGCAAAACCAAATTAATTTGTATGTTTAATTCTGTCTATTTCAGTATAAATTCATTTTCTCTGTTTTAAATATCTTCTAGTAATATTAAAATTTTAAATTACATGTTAAATATTTTTATTAATAATAATATAAATATATGAATTATATATAAAATTCTATTTACTAAATATATTAATAGATAATATTTTAATCAAACACAATGTATTTATTTTAAACAAAAATATATATATAAAAATTGTGTATTCATAATTGATTACTGTTTATAAAATCGTGTTGTAATAAATGTATATATACATCACATAACTAATAAAAATTTTATATTTTTATTTAAAAATATTTCATATCACTTTATTTAATAGTATTTAGAAGATTTTTAATTTTGATTTTTAAATTAAATAAATATATATATAATATAATAAACAACTATATACATCACACGGTACATAAACATAAATTGATTCCAACTCTTTAATACATATGCATCTTCATTAATTCGTAACATTGAATTTCTTTAAAATAAATACTTCATTCATTAACAAAAAAAGATACATATATTGTGCTAATTAAAAACATAATAACTTTTTATAAATAAATTCTCATTGATACCGACATTTAATACATAAAAACATTATTCAAAAGCATTTAATATATACTTTTTAATATCTAAGTGAATGGATGTAACCATGTAAATGTTTGATTTTATTTATTAATTCTAGTCACATAATCTTTATAAAATAATTATGTGAATGGATAATCTTGCATTTTAAATTAAAACAATTAAAAATTCGAAATTAATTATAAATTTAATTACGTGGAATTTAAATGTAAGGTAAAAATTTGGTGAGTGGTTACACGTACCCAAATATATATATATATATATATATATATATACATGCGATAATTAAAGCTGATGCCCCACAGTCACAACCGCAATGCTGTCAGGTTACCCAGGCAGAGAGGCACTCGGACCCATTGCAACCAATGCAATTTGTACAGATAATTAATAAATAAAAACCCTATTATTTTTTACCCAATAAAAATAAATTAGGACTGTTATTTAATATATTTATTTAATTAAATAATTAATATTTTACATGGTTTATGAATTTTATAATAAGATGCAAAGAATATTCATTCCTTTATTCTTAATAATCAAAGGGTTTTTTTTTTTTTTTTTGAAATTTATTAGATAATTGATAATTATTAATTAATCAAAAATAAAATTCTAAACCTTAATCATTTGGATTATTTTGAAATTAGTATATAGTATACGTGTATCTATATCTATATATATATATGTTGAAAAAGAAGTTCGATTCCTAAAAACTAATGTCCGTTTGGAATATTGATACTTCGGGAGGCAGAAGGTATCGAGGGGAAAAATCCCAAGCAAGAAACAC